TTCATGAATAATCATTGAGCTCCAGGCACTGGTCTATATCTGTAATATATAGCAGTGAAAATAAACACGAAACAGAAACAAAATCAGTTCTTTCTGTTCGTTAGGATCAGGCCCCTGTGAAGGGCAGCACCGTGATAAAGAGCTCAGACGTTGGGGCCGGCCCGCCTGGGTCTGAATCCCAGCTCCCCCGTTCATCAGCAGCATCCTCTTTGGCAAATTTTTCCAACCTTTTGAGTCTCAGTTTCTTCCTCAGTGAGTCAAGGATAATGATGACACCTACCAGAGGGGCGTTTTGTGAGGAGTCCACGAGCAGATAAACAAGTCCCTGAGCAGTACCTGTACACAGCAAGCCATCCATAAGTGCTTGTTACCAGTCTACCGACCTTCTGGGGAGATTCAAAAAACCGAGTATGCGTGGAGATTGTAAAATGCTTAAGAATGCTTTGCGGTAAAATTTGGGCGATGACTCTATGCTTGTTTCTTTCTGGGCTTTTCTTCGTAGCAGAGACTTCCCTTCTCTTCTCTGTACCTCCTTTCACCCTCCCCCAAGAAGAAATGGATTACTTATAAAAATCTTGTGGCCAATTTTAACAAATATTTATTTGGGCTTTTCTTCCAGAGCTCTCTGCAGCTCTCCTCAGTTCTCCTTGTGTCCCTAATGCAATATTTAACATTTGTTTCTGTCCAAGTAAGAGAAAACAGAAGTCTTTGTGTACAGGTTTGTATCCTGAGGACTTTCAAGATGTCAATGGTGCAATAGATGCCTCTCTTTTGACCGATGGCATTTTGAACATTCAAGGCTGAAACTTTCCAGTTACTTCAAAGATAGAGCTTGCCTCCCAGCACTTCCCCCGACCCCACCAGTAAGGGCGTAGCTTGACTTTGGCCACCATCCCACTCGACTCCCCACTCACACTGGGGCACTGAGAAGATTGATATCCTTGGTAGTCCCAAAAGGTTTTCTCACAGCTCTGCCAAGGCAAGTCAATTACTTGTATCACTTTTATGGTTTAAATTCTAAATTTCTTAGGAGAGTCTGCCTTATGTTACGGGTTTGTGAAAGGGCAAACTTTCCAACTTAATCCAGTGTCTCTTGAGATAAGGGTTTGTGCATCAGTCCATGGGCAGGCTGACCATATGTCCTGATCTGCCCAGGACAGTCACCGTTTATGTCTGGTGTCCTGGTTTAATTATCAATAGTACCCCTTTTCGTGCTTACAAACATCCTGGCTGGGGCCATAAATGCCAAGGTCACCTACCCATGGCACACAGTGAGCCTTCTCTGAGCCACCGTCTGTGAGCCTGGCCCAGACAGGCCCTCGAGGCCTTAGGAGTGCAGTGAGATTTAGAAATTTAGAAAAAGAAAAGGTGATGGCTAGAAAACTGCCCTCAACAGAACACTGAGTCTCACAGTCATAAAACATGCTCAAGATACAGTAAGTGTTACGGCCGAAACAGAGTTCCGCAAATACCCACATGTACCCCCACATCTCCCAGTCTTCCCTGAAGATGGGCTGGGCCATGGGACTTGCAGGGGCCAGTGTCGTGGTGAGTGGAAGTGAAGGGGCACCTCTGGGCCAGGGCAGCGAAGACTGCTGTCCCTACTATACCTCAGTGACCCTGGGTAGTGATGGTGGTGTAACCTGGACTGTGGAGATGCTCCCCGCAGGGAAGCTTAGCCAGCCTGCTGCAGCCAGGCTTGTGTGAGAGAGAAGTGAACACCTGTCGGCTGAGTGCCTGAGCTTTCCAGTTGTTACCGCAGCATGGCAGCAACCGGATCTTAAGCTAGAATGTTCTTGTGTCTGCAGAGGATGAGAATTGTGTTTTAGCAAAGAGCAGCCTATGTAGGAGTGCACAGTTCCTTCTCTTCTGGACCGGCGAGCTCTTTCTTCAGTGTACTGGCCTTCCCAGAAACAGTGTTTGATCTCTAAGTGTGCCCTGGGAGGTTGAGACCTGGAGGAAGCCCTTAGCCTTCCCACCGTGCACATTTCCCTCCTACAGGGCTTTGGGAGTCAAGTATTAAGCACCCGGTACCCCACTCTGTGATCTACTTGAGACACAAGGACACACAAGACCTGGAGCCAAATAAGACATCGTGTCTCACTGCTGCTGGGCTCTGCAGAGAGCCCCAAATACTTCAAACGATGGCAGGAGAAACTCCCGTGCAGAGTTGCTGCACAGTTAGGTTTGGGGGTACTACTGCTGAGTCCCTGCTTTGGCTTAAACGAAGTCAAAGTTTTTAAACCAGTGAGTCTGTTTCCCAAATGCTAACGGGTGGATGGGCAGCATCAGAATCATCCCGACACGAAAAACCAATACATATGCATATGCCCGTCTTCCCTGGAGACTTTGATTCTCAGCGACCCAGGGTGGATTCCTGCTTGAAAAAAAACAGCCATCCCGTTGAACACTACAACAAAAACTTATGATGTACTATATGCTGACTAACTGAACATAATAAAAATAAAAAATAAAGAAAATAAAAAACAGCCATCCCCACCCCAAGTGATTGTGACGAATAGCAAGTGATTGCTGACAAAGGGAATGTAGTGTTTATTTCACATTATTTCAATGAATTCAAGGAGTTGCTAGTGTTCTCTTTGTGGGATCTGCCAATGTACCTGAAAGACCCAGAGAAAGTGTTTATGTGCCAGCCGGGAGGTACTGATGGTCTGTGACTGGTGTGACTCAGGCTCTCACCGGAATGCGGAGTGAGATGTAAACTTTCTTACCTTGTGAGACTTGCTCATCTGTCTCCCACTAAGGGCTTGATTTTCCACCCGAAGAGCAGTGTTTTCAAACTTTGGGTTGGAACCTATTTGTGGGTTATAAGAACCGTTGAGCAGGGTGCAACCAGTATCAAAAAAATTAAGTAGTCCAAGGGTCCGGGGGCCGGGAAGAGTGCATGACATATGTTAGGGATAAGTGTGGTTCTGGAAAACTTGTTTTGGTGAGTGTGTTGTGCTTTCGGTTGCCATGTATTTCTTACTATGTGTCATGGCACAAAGTGTCTGTAAGTCTCTGCTGGACAGCATAAATCAACCATGACTCTATAATTTACTTGGGGCAGCCCCTGTCTCCTCTTTCAGAAGAGTGATAGAAGTCACCAGGGAGGGCAGACTGTCATACACAAGTACTTCCGGGAGGCTACTTGGAAAGTAATAGAAAACCAATTTGTACATGATCGCATAGCCTAGGGAGATAAATCAGTGTCAGGAAGTTTTACCCAACACCTGTCACCTGGGGACCGCTGGGTTTATCTGGAACCCAATCTGGCCAAATTTCAGTTTCCCTAATCACCCCCATTGACTACTACTATTGTGGGAAAGACCAAATTCGTGTTGGGGGAAGACTCTATCCAATAAAGGAGGAGCCCCAAAGTGTTGGCCCAGCCATGGCCTTTCCCGGTGGTTTGGTGGGTATGCTGTTCTCAGGGCAGGAAGGGCAAGGCCATACTCAGATCAGGTCTAGGCACTGTGGGAGCTAGAGAAGGCATGTGCGAGAGCAGACGAGGTAAACCTGATGTCAAGTGGCCTTTCTTCTTCCGGCTTCTTGGTAGGAGCCCTGAGGTCTTATCTTTCACAGTACACTGGTCTTAGTGACCTAGAAGAGGAGCCAACAGGATGAGGGGACCAGTTCACAGAGCATCTCGTGTGCAGCCCTCATGGTGGCAGGTGCCTTCTGCCGGCTTGGGAGGGGCTTGGGGGGGGCGGCAGTGGGGGAACACAAGCGTGGGGGGCTGTCCCTAGGGCTGCTAATTTTGGAGCAAGCCTGCTACCCTCTTCTCAGGGGGAAGAGCGACGGAGGAGAATAGGAGAAAAGCAGGCCTTAAAGAACATCACTGAAGGGTCTGGGGTGAAAGACTCCAGTGGACCCAAAGCCCCCCTACCACTCACCACCACTCCCCATTTCCAAGTGTGCTGTTTACAGCAAAGCCCCCGAATGGTTGAGAGAGGTCCTGGCCACTGCTGCCACTTCTGTGCTTAAAGCTCTCACAATATTCAGGAATAAAAAAAACTGCCAAGAATGCAGAGATGGAATTTTAAAATGCAACCCAGGCCTGTTTCAAGTTGCACGGTGTACATCTTTAATCCCGTTGCTGATCTCTGTGGCTGCCCCTAGGACTTCCTTAGGCCCCATCAGAAGCAGGAACAGAAAGGGCCGGCCGACCAGCCCCTTCCTCCACTACCCACCCCGCCAGGATCGTTTTGCTTGAGAGCAAGCTTTGGCTGCCTTTGCTGCTTGGAAGGGGACAAAACTCACTGCCTCTACAGCTGGGCTTTCTCAGGATTGTGGTCCTCAAAATTTTGAGTGCATAAACCTCACCCAGGGAGCTTGTACAAAGCATTAGTCTTAGCTCCGCCTGTAGCACTTCAAATTTAGTAGGCTTGAGGTGGAACCCTAGAGTCTGCATTTTGAGATGCGTTCTCCGTCCCCCCACCCCGCCCCCCATGCTGGGATGCCAGTTAGAGGCAGACCACACTTGGAGAGGCTGATGGGGAGGCTGGCCAGGGAGGGGAGGTCTGCACCCACCAGCCCTGGGGCTGACCACCCAGAGTGAGGTGGAACTCCCGCCCTCCTGTGCTCTTTATTAGGACAGGGCTGGGCCCTGAGGTTGCCTGGTTTTCATAAAGAGTCCTCAGACATCTGCTCCCCACCAAGTCCTCAGGCAGACAAAGAAGGGGTAACAGCTAATAGAACCTTAACACACTTTGTAGGTGCCTTTTCTGCATTGAAAAAAAGAACAACAAAACGTCAAAAGACCAAAAAATTTAAAAAGTAACATGGGTGGAAAATCCAAGGTCATTAGAGCCGCCCAGGGCTTCATTGTGGGCAAAGAGCTTGAAGGTAAATCTAGCTCTGGTTCCCCAGCCACAGATTCCTGACCCGGTCCCAATCGTCTAGCCCAGTGCCCCCCCCCCCCCCCCCCGGCAATCCCACCTGGAGCTATTCTGGCATTTTCTTCACTGCAGTTTTCTCACGGTAGTCCACACATGGTATAAGGTTGAACAAAGACATTTATTTGTAAAACCAATTCCCAACGGAGGAGAGGCTGAATCCATGGAAAGTAAACTGGTGATCATTCAGAGGGCCACATGCATACATCAGTGAAACCAAGGGCAAAACCAGACAGCCCGCTGCTGCAGGCACCTGGGAGCTACCAATCCCGCCAACAGAAAAGCAAAATGTCCTTTCCGCTCCAGAACACGGATGTACCAAGATGTCCTGTGAGAAGGCAATTTGGTCTGACATCCACGATGAAGTGATCAGAGAACAATTGAGGGAACCTTTCTTTCTATTCTGTGTGGCTTGTTTGCTTCCCACAGATACCCGGCTAAAAGCTTAAGTGGTCCTCCGCCCTCCAGAAGGAGGGGCAGCGTCAAAGCCCCGGGCCTCCTCACATGCCCATCCTTATGCTCTGAATGATCTGAAAGACAGCTGAAAGAGGAAAAGAAGACAGCTCAGGTACCAGGCAGCACACAGCTGGAAACCCCAGCCCACAGCCAGCCCTGCTCCTGCTCACGCACCCCCACCCCCAGCCCCCGGGCCCTGGTCGTGGGAGCGTACAGCTGATGAGATAGTTCCTAACAAGGAGTTAAGTTAACAAAAGGTCAGTGAACTTCTTTAAAAAAAGGCAGCCTGGCTCTGTCTGCCCATAGATGATGGATGCCTCGGGGATTTATGGATGACTCCTGCTAATTCCATCAGGAGTGAAGACGAGAATTCCCTCAGGCGCTCGGAGAGCTTTGCCCCCACCCCTTCTGCAGAAGTGTTCAGTGGCTGCTGGGGAGAGGGGGACAGGGCTTTCTATACGGGCACTGCACTCATTTCACAGGTCAGTGAGGCTGCCTTTTCCAAATGGCAGTGACCTGGAAAACCAGCAGCCCCTGAGCTGGGAACGCGGGCCAGGTGCTTGGAGCAGATGCGCCAAGCACCGTGCCCGTGACTGCAGGGAGCCCTGGGTGCCAGATCTCCGGTGTGCCTGCACAGGTTCTGCAAGGCGGCGAGCTCCCATCCCCAGCGACACTGATTTTATCCCGCTAGGGCGGGGGGGGAGGGGGGAAGCATCTAAACCCACAGAGAATTCCGGGCGCCCTGGCTTGTTTTGCTAAGAGCTGGTTCAACAGCTCCCCGGCCTGGTGCTAGCTATCGGGGTCAAACACGTCCCAGGAAAGTCAGGCCCCAGCTTCTACTTTACACCCTCTCCAGAGGGCAATGTCAGTCAGTCTTGATGAGGATGACGGGAATGAGGGACATGGCAGCTATCATGCGTGGCAGGATTTTGTTTCTGAGGCGAGGCTGGGTATCTTTGCCTTGAATCATGTCTAAACACAGAATAAACAGGAATGCAGCAGAGAGGCCACAGGAAAACAGGCTCTCCAGAACCCTCAGGAAACAAGTCGTTGGCATTTCATCATCTAACGTTAGTGAGCACGCACTGTGCGCCAGGTACTGTGCTTCGGGTGTACAAAGACCAGTAACATGCAGGGCCCTGGGCAATCTTTCTTGGACAGCTAGATTTGAAGGAGAGATAAAGCATGAATGCATTTTTTTCTAAAAAAAAAAATAAAATAAAACCCCAAACCCTGCACACATCATCACTACTCTCCTAAATTGAACGTACTCCAAACATGACTTCATATTAATTTTTCATAAATGTTCAGTGTGACCCTAATGAAAAACAGTCATTGATTAGACTCTGCTGTAATATGACCACGGAGTCTATGCGAGGTGTTCCATCGGGCTGTGTGCTGGGCTTTCATTTCTGCTTCTGTTTTGTTTCATTATGATGATCTCCGCTCGCCTCTCTGGGGTTACTAGACCAACCTGCGGTGGGCCCTCTTCCATTATAATGTTGCCGCAGACCCGGCGGGACACAGAGGCTGTTAGAATTACATGGAAAATTAAAGCGAGCCCGTTCGTGCGAAGATCAGAGCGGCTCTTCTCCAGATACTGCGAAGGAGTGAATTCAACAACTTGTGATACTTAATTCTGGTCATGCTCAGAGGTCTCCTTGGCTGCTTCTGGGTTTGGCGATGGGTCTTGGCGGGAGAAGTTGCTACATGGGTGAGAAAGTACCTTACAGAAATGGATAAGCTCATGGAAATGGCGGGCAGGTCTGGCCTCCCCTCCCAAGGCCGAAGGCCGACAGGGAATAAAAATTAAATAAACATTCCGTCTTCCAGCTCAACAGGAGTGCTGGGAGGCAGCTGTATATTCAATAACGTTAGGGAAAAGCTATTTACATCCACCATGCCTCATGTTCTTGGGATCGGGGAAACATCTCTAATCTTGACAAACAAGTTTGCAGAGGAATGTTAGGGTCAGATGGAAACAGGTCTTCACTGAATAGCCGTGTGACCGGACGAATAATTTAACCTTTTCAAAACTGTTTCCTCTTGGGTAAAACGAGGACCACGGTGCTTGCGGTGCTGTTACAGGGATTAAATGATCCGACACAGACGAAGGCTCTGTGCACGTTGGAGACTCGGTGCATGGGAGCTCTTGCTGATATTACCATTCCTATAGTAATGACTGCTTCTTCTCCACGCATGAGCAGGAAGACCGGAGCTCGAGTACCCAGTGCCACCTGCCGCTCTCTAGAGGTGTGCACTTTGGGAAATTCCCAAATAGTTCTGAGCCCTGATTTCTCTCTTTGTACACCCGTAGATAATATGAATCTCAAAGGACTGCAAGGGATAAATATCATGACATAAGCAAAAAATCTGCCCATCATAAAATGCTCAAAAATGTTATTTCTCCCTTAATTTTATCCTTAGACAAGAAATGTAGGTCAACAAATAGGAAACAGTCTGTGCCTTAAGTCCATCATGCCCCATTCGGTTCATTCATGACTTCAAAAGGGCTAGGTAATGATAAAACCACTCAATTCTGTTTAAGGACCTGCTGCAAATTTCCCTAAAGAATCTCAGACAAAATTTTCTTGTTCCAGAGTTGTAACACTTGTATTAAAACAACTTACCAGTTACTGAATCTGCTTTAAGAACTAACTAAAGATCACTCCTGACCCTATGGAATCCGTGAATTAACATCTGAGAATCTGATGGTCCTTCTCATGGTTACAGGTGACTCTTTAAAACTGGACCCGCTTGGAGAAATGACTTTGGATAAAGTTTATTTTAAGCTCGCCATTTGCCTCCACTTTTAAGATAATGGAGAGATGGTTGTGTTTATTATTCCTTTTTCAGTTGTATTAATGTCTTTAAGAAGCCTTCAACATTCTACACCAATTACAGTAATTGTACTTCTGTGTGGCCACCAGTAATGACCTGCAGAGTAACCCCGGCCTTCCAACTGCTGACTTTGCGAGGCAGAACACAGGAAGGGAGCCAACAGTGGGTTCAAAGTGGGAAAGGAAGTAGGGAGTCTGGACCCTGACAAGTTAATAACTTAACAGTGGGTGAACAAAGCTGAGAAAACAGCTGAGCACGCTGTAGCAAAGGGGCTGTGGGTAAGCCAGACAGCAGGGAGGAGAGATGCCAAGAAAAGGAGGGACGGCAGGCATTCCAGGTCAGGGCATCTGGCCTTGGGCAGGTCACTAAGGTTCAGAAAAATCCAGGCTAGAGCAGGAGCTACAGAATCCCGGAGCCTTTGCCCTTTGCAACCTGTTTAGCTTCCTGATCTTCGGTAGCCTCCGATGGTCACATCTCTCTTTTTATTTAACCACCTCTTGCAATGAAATCCTTAGGCTTTCACATGCAAGAACCATTCACATCCAAACAAACCAGAATGATCCTCCTGACTCCACATTTGCTGACAACAGGTGCCCTCTCTTCCACTCAACCACCTTTTCTAGAAAGCTGTCTATACTCACTCCCTTTCCTTACTTTCAATCCCCACCTCAATCCATTCCAGTCTAGCTTCTGCTCTTTTCAGTCTACTGAAATAGCTCTTGCTAAAGCCACAAAGCTCCCTCCACGTCACTTAATCCAAAGGGCATTTTCTAGCTGCCTCTATGTCTTACTTCCCTACTCGCCATTGTTGAGCACTCCTTCCTTCAGCCCTCTCCTCCCTTGGCCTCGTGACACTATATTCTCTTGGCTTCTAGTTTTCTTCCTTCTCTTTGGCTCTTCACACTACCTGGGTTTTGCAGGGGTCATTCTAACTCCACCTGACCAGTAAACAAGAATAATGATGTTCCTCTGGCTTTCTTCTGTTCATTACATTCTTTCTCCCTGGGCGACCTCACCCTGGCCCACAATTTTAGGTGGCACTTAGCTTTTGATGACTCACCTATGTGTACTGCCAGCGCTGACATCTCCTCAGAGCTCCAGACCCACACCTTCCACTATCTAATTGGAATCTACACATAGGTGGCTCAAAGACACTTCAACCACAACCGGACCTTCTCATGATCTCTTCCCACCACCAAACTTGGCATCATTATCCTCCATCTTGCATGTAAACCCCAAAAGCCAGAGTCCTCCTTGACACCTCCAACTGACCACCAAAGACCTGTGGACTTATACCGAAGTATCTTGTGATTATGCACGTTTCTCTCCATGCCTCTGGAAGCCACCCTAGTACAAGTTACTGCCATCTTTCCCCAGACCCTTGCAATGCCCTCCAACTGGTCTACTCTTGCTCCTCTTCAATCCTTGCTCATCCTGTAGCTAGAATTATTCTTTAAATGAAAACAAATAAGATTGTGTCATCCCTGTGTTTAAAGCACATCAAAAGCTTCCTATTGCCCAATCCTTGATGGGGCCTCCATGACCTGCATATCCTGGCCCTATCAACCTGTCCGGACGCATCTTGTATTACTCTTCTTTCTTGGGGTAATCCCTCGTGTTTTCAAAAGCTCTCTGCTCTTACTATAGGGCTTTTGCACATGCCATTCTTTCTGTCTGAAAGATTTCTCCTCCCCTGCCCTATTGCCTGGTTTTCCCTTCTAATCCAAAAGTTATTTCTGCAGGGAAGCCTTCTTTGGCCATCTGAAGCAAGAATTCTCACACCTGCATGTGTAAAATAGTCTCCCAAGGATGTGTGAAAATAGAGGCTGGACCCCACCTCCAGAGTTTCTAATCCAGTGGGTCCAGAGTGGGAAATGAGATCGTGTATTTCTAACCAGGTCACAGGTGATGCTGAGGGCTGCTGGTCCAGGGACCACACCTGGAGAACCACTTACCCAGAGGATACCAGCCTTTTGCATTATATGCTTCCGCAGCCTTACATGCCTCTCCTTCAAACACTGTCATGTCTGAAATGTCACATGTTTCAGCATGACTACTTGATGAACTTATCTTGCTTCCCCACTAGGCTGTAAGCTCCAGGAAAGCAGGGACCTTGGATGATTTTTTTTTTAAGATTTATTTATTTATTTGAGAGAGAGAGAGAGAATGCAGGGGGCGGGGGGAGTAGTTACAGAGGGGAGAGAATATCTAAGCAGACTCCCACTGAGTGTGGAGCCCGATGTG